AAACTGATCAGAACAATACTAAACACACCACTAATAAGGTTTCTCTCCTGTATGGCTCCTCAAATGATGCTTAAGATTAGAAGCGGCTGAAAAGCATTTCTCACACAGGTATTAAACTGATAAAAATAGTACTCAACACTCCACTCCTATCTGGTGTCACATTAGCTTGACCGCGCAGTGCCCCAAATTTGCAGTAAGAGGACCGACCAAGCCTCTTCTTCCATCTCCCTGTTACAAAAATCAATGCCGTGTACACGACCACTGATAGGAGACGCGGAAGGTATTAAACTGATCAGAACAATACTAAACACACCACTCCTCTCTGGTGTCACATTAGCTTGACCGCGCAGTGCCCCAAATTTGCAGTAAGAGGACCGACCAAGCCTCTTCTTCCATCTCCCTGTTACAAAAATCACTGCCATATCCATACAAATTGTACAGAATGTCCAGGATAAGTTTCAGGCAAGCCTGTTGAACGAGGTGACCTTGCTCGGGTCCCAGGTGTACGGTTCCTAAAATGGCTGCCATATACACGTCCACTGATAGGAGACGCGGAAGGTATTAAACTGATCAGAACAATACTAAACACACCACAAATAAGGTTTCTCTCCTGTATGGCTCCTCAAATGATGCTTAAGATTAGAAGCGGCTGAAAAGCATTTCTCACACTCCGAACAAAAATATATTTTTTTAACATTCTCTCCACTTTGAACGAAATGACGTTTGGGAAGAGATTAACATAATTAAACACAGGCAGTAAAAATACAGTTTTTAGCCATACCCTGTAACTTTAAAACTACACATCCCATCTTCATAATTACATATTTGGAATCAGCACACTTAAAACATAAACATAACCAAAAATCAGCCAAATCCATCCAGGGGTTAAAAAGTTAGCTGGAGGTCCCTTTATGACCGACCGCAAGCACATTTTCCTGCCCAAAACAGTTCCATAGATTTGGGCTGTGAGGTCGGTCTATTTCAGGCTGAAAAAACGACTAAGTCCCATCGCGAATGGGACTTAGTCTCTGCAGCTGAAATAAGGCTGAAAAAAACGGCTGAAAAAAAGACTAAGTCCCATCGCCGAATGGGACTTAGTCTCTGCAGCTGAAATAAGGCTGAAAAAAACGGCTGAAAAAAAGACTAAGTCCCATCGCCGAATGGGACTTAGTCTCTGCAGCTGAAATAATTTCCCATTTACTGAACCAAGTGGGAAATAGCAAGGCAGGCACAAAGGGTTTGCACCAGGTCTGGGGACACAGGGGACACCGTCTTAAAGGGGCCGTGTCCCCAACAAGTCTGGGGACACGGCCTTAAAGGGGCAGTGTCCCAATCTTCCTGATGTCCCAAAAAAGGTGTTTAAAGGGCCAGCACCAGTCACATAAAGAGTCCATAAGCCCCAATATGCCCACCGACAGTCTTAAAGGGCCATACACACCAAATAAAAGTGCATACATTTTCACAATCTCCCAGGGGCCATAGTCATGCGGGAGGAGGCTGGCAAAGAGGCTTCTCCACAACCCAGGGAAACAGGGCAATTTGCCATTTAAAGGGCCCGTTACAAATAGCAGTTTGTAACAAGGTGTCAATCCATATCTGCCAAGTGACCCGATGTAGGGGGAACAGTCCCTATTCTGCTCTGTGTCAGTGTGTATCAGGGATCCTTAGGACAGGTGTCAATCCATATCTGCCAAGTGACCCTATGTAGGGGGACCAGTCTCTATTCTGCTCTGTGTCCGTGTGCATCAGGGGCTCTGAGGACAGGTGTCAATCCATATGTCAAGGTGTCAACATGTCATATGTCAGGTGTCAATCCATATTGATTGTGATTTAGGAATGTTAGGTGATTTCTGCCCTTTATGGATTAAAACCAGACTCTGTATCAACTGTGTAATTTTCCATGGGAGTTTTGCCATGGATCCCCCTCCGGCATGCCACAGTCCAGGTGTTAGTCCCCTTGAAACAACTTTTCCATCCCTATTGTGGCCAGAAAGAGTGCCTGTGTGTTTTAAAATTCGCCTCCCCATTGAAGTCAATGGCGTTTCGGGCGGTTCGCCGGTTCGCGAACATTTGCGGAAGTTCGCGTTCGCCGTTTGCGAACCGAAAATTTCGGGTTCGCGACATCACTAACCACCACATCTATTTGACGGGCTGATGATGGTGATATCTTGCACTTGCTATTTATACTTGTGTATGGTGGACTAATTTGGTTCAGCCAAATAACTTTGTCTGTGGTGGTTTGGATTGCTAAATATTATGTATATATTTTGCAGTGCACTGATTTTACACTTATTACACAAGTTTTAATGTTTTTGGAATACAGATCAAGTAAGAAAAGATAACCATTAGATGGAAAAATAGGAGGAACAGTGAGGACAATCTATATTTCTAAATTATTATTTTTTCATTTTTAAAAATGTATTATCTTTTCATTCAATGACAAAAACATCACAATGTGACATGACAAAGGAACGATATGCAAGATGATGTACAGAACATACATTGGAGTTGGCACATGCATATTAATTGATACATCCATAAAAGTTATGCTTTCTCATTCGGTTATGGGTAGACTGGGTATCTTACAAATAAAATGTGTATATGCATGTAAAATAAAATAGACCTCTGTCATCTCCATGCCATTGTGTGAGTATAAACCATAAATACAAAAAAATAATAATTGTAGTCATTAACTTTTTTTAAAGAAAACATTAGTAAAACATTTACAGTGCTATGTGCAATGGTGCAGTGTGTGACCTTTTCCCCACCTTGCATTATTATAGCATTGAGCTTGAGAATCCCTAAGTCCTTGTCCATAGGCCCTGGGGTATGTGTGAGAGAAGGAGATGTGACAAGTGTGAGGTATAAAGTATTAGTCAGGAAACCAGGAACCATAATATCATTTTAGTCAGAAATGAAAACGTTGTCTGGGTGATGTCCCAGATCAGTGTAGTGGCCTGGGTTCCTTCCCCTTTATGTCAAGTGATTGGTTGCATAAAACTTTTCCAGGGTTGCCATATGTGCCTGTATCAGTCTATTTGACCCATGGATGACCATCTCAGCTTCCTGAGCGTTCAGAAGTTGTCCACCCTCTGAATCAAGGTATGCACATTGGGGCTTGTTGGGGACCTCCATTGGTGTCTTATAACTAGTTTGCTTGCCGAGGGAATGATGTATAATATTGAGAACCTATATCGTTTAGAATTACCTTCCAGTTTTTAGAAGAGCAAGGACGCCACATCCTGTGGTATAGTGATACCCAGTACCTGTCGGATCAAAGTAGTAACTGCCTCCTAAAAGGGTTGAATTTTTTCACAAGACCACCAAATATGGTGGAGAGTGCCTTGGTATTTCCCACATCTCCAAGATAGGGGGGATACACCCCTTGTATATTGATGTACATTTGCAGGGGTCACATACCATTGAGCTAGGAGTTTAAAGTTTGCTTCCAATAGTTGTATGCTGCTATGGGAGTGACATGTTCTGTAAAATATTTTATACCATTATTCTTCTGTAAGAGAGGGTGAAATATCATCATTCCATCTATGTGAGTATGGCGGGGGTTTAGGATTGGTCGCCAGTTGTGGCATTTTTAATGGCATTTAGATAGTCCTGTAAAGATTTTAAGCCAAACCTGATCATAAGATGTGCTATCGTAATGTGAGTTTTAGTATTTGTTTGGGATACCTTAGAGTCCCACAGGGAACATCGAATTGTGTATTTGGGCAATGTCTTTGGTGAAAATTCTTTAAAGGTGTACAATTCCCCTCCATGTCCGCAACATAGGGGTAATGGTGAGGTGAGGTGGAATAATAAATGTAGGGTGGTGAGCCATTATCCAAAGGATGGCCCGGAGAAGTATATCAAGAAAAGATTGTTCTATATCTATTCAATGTTTGGAGGAAAGTTTTGTGGACCAATCTAGTATTCTGTTCAAGTGGATTGCTTGGTAATAGAGGAAGGGATTTGGCAGTCCTGCTCCTCCCCTATCTTGAGGTCTTGTAAGAACATAAAAGGCTATTCTTGGTCTACCTTGTGCCCAAACAAATTTTGTAGGTTGGTCTGGATGTGTTTGAAAAATGTTTTGAGTAGTGATATTGGTATGGTGTTAAAGAGATAAAGTAATTTGGATAGGACATTCATTGTTATAATGTTTACTCTGCCTAGCCATCTGAAATGTGGTTTATTCCAGTCCTCCAAGTCCCTTGAGATTTCTGCTATTAGGGGAGTGAAGTTCAGTGTAAATAGGTCTGATATGTGCCGGAACATTTTTATACCCAGGTATGTGATAGTGTGGGTTTCCTATTTGAAATTGAATATATTTCTATATTATATGTTTGGGGAATATATTTGTTCCCCTTTTTTGCATTTAACTCCTTAAGGACGGAGGCAATTGTACAGGTTCTGTTTAAAACAAAACATAAACAAAACCTGGAATTTGCGCTATACCCACACATAATATATATATGATTTTGTTCAGGAGAAACAGGGTTTCCATTTCACATCAAATATTTGAATAAGAAACATAATTTAATATGAATAAAATGTAAAAAAAATGTGGGAAATTAAGAAATTTTATTTTTTTAGTTCTGCATTGCATTTTAACTGTGAATGTCATACCGGTACTGTTAGCTTTTATGACAATAAAATACACATATTTATATTCAGCGATGTCCAACAAGTAAAACAGAATCCTCCATGAACAGGTGTTATGCTGTTTTGAAAAGTTACAGGGTCAAACATAGCACGTTACATTTATCAGTTTATACACACTGAAATTTGCCAGATTAGTAATGTTGCCTTTGAGACCGTATCATAGCCCAGGAATGAGAATTACCCCTATGATGGTACCCCTATGATTTTATGGTGTTTTGGAAAGTTAGAGAGTCAAATATAAGGCTTGCATTTCAGTTTTTTTCACGTTGAAATTTGCCAGATTAGTAATGTTGCCTTTGAGACCCAGTATAGTAGCCCAAGAATGAGTATGGCCTCCATGATGGCATACCATTTGCAAAAGCAGAGAACCTTGGGTATTCAATATGGGGAATGTACAGTCCTTTTTAGTAGTCACTTAGTCACAAACACTAGCCAAAATTAGCTTTCATATTTGTTTTTGTGTGGAAAATGCAAAAAACAAATATGAACGCTAATTTTGGCCAGTGTTTGTGACTAAGTGACTACTATAAAACACTGGACAAACCCCACCTGCAATACCTTGGGTTGTCTACTTTTGCAAATGGTAGGCCATCATGGGGGCAATTCTCATTCCTGGGCTACCATATGGTCTCAAAGGCAACATTACTAATCTGGCAAATTTCAACGTGAAAAAAACGGAAATGCAAGCCCAATATTTGACTCTCTAACTTTCCAAAACACCATAAAACCTGTACACAGGGGTACTGTTATACTCAGGAGACTTCACTAAGTTCAAATATTAGTGTTTCAAAACAGTGAAACATATTACAACAATAATATCGTCAGAGAAAGTGCCGCTTGTGTGTGAAAAATGCAAAACATTACTTTTACTGACAATATCATTGTTGTAATACAATCTACCATTTTAAAACACTAATATATGTGTTCAGCGAAGTCTTCAGAGTAAAACAGTACCCCCCCCATGTACAGGTTTTATGGTGTCTTGAAAAGTTACAGGGTTAAATATAGGGCTTGTGAATTTAAGAGCTTCGGGAGAATCAAAGGGCGTGCGCGTGCCGAAACAGAGCCTTTAAAAGGTACAGGTGGTGGAGACCAGGAAGGAGCTTCAGTAGACAAGACCACAAACTCTACTTATTTAAACCCCACACACCCTTGACTCCTTGCTCAGTTGTGCTGTGCTCCTGATTATGTAAAGACCTTCAGTAACTGACCTGCCGTATCCTGATTTTGACATATATTTTATTTTATACATTCTTTATTTTTAATATGGGTAGAGACGGGTAAATTGAAAACTCCTCCTTAGTAAAACAGTTTTCATCTATTTCTTTTTGTTATATCTTCATTTTTGAGTTTCCAAGATACAATTATTTACAATGTTATGGGTTTTTTTTGTTTTTTTGTTTCACTTTATAACTGTAATGGAATCCAGCTATGTTTCAAAAGAATTATTTGCAAAACACATAAGATATGGTTTTCTCACTGTTTCACTGTTCCTGCCAGGCATCAGCAAATGTTGAAAAAAGTTTTCAATGCTATAAAACTTCTGCAAGATGTGCTTCTTGTCTTACAGGGACACTATAGTCACCAGAACAACTACAGCTTAATGTAGTTGTTCTGGTGAGTATAATAGCTCCCTTCAAGCATTTTCATGTAAACACTGCCTTTTCAGAGAAAGGCAGTGTTTACGTTGCACCTAGGGACACCTACAAGTGGCCACTCCTTAGATGGCCACTCGAGGGGCTTCCTGACTCAGGGCTGCACAGTAAGCAGCCCTGCCGTTTAGCGTCCCCACACTCTGCATGGCGACGCTGAATTTTCCTCATAGAGATACATTGAGGTTTTTGGAGATGAGGAAGCAGGGGAAGTAAAAGAAAAGAAGAAGGGGGACAAAAGGGGGGGGGGGTCAAGGGGTTCTGAAAACCCATTGTAACTTAGCTGCACCAGCTTCAGGAGTAGTATAGCCCAGATCAACAGGTGTAGCTATCATTTTCGATGCTCAGAAAAAGCTCCAGAAATATAATGCATGAGGAAGGGAAGTAAAAGTAAAGGGTATAGTCACAGCTTATTAGCACTGGTGGTGTCAGCAGAGCCACTTGTCCTGGCAGTCATTTTGCAAGGTCTTCTGTCTCTCTGGGGCAAGGTTGTATACCATCTGTCAGTAGGCAGGTAGAACTTGGCAGGGTCCAACCACCTCATATTCAAGGGACATTATTAATCCCAGGCGGTATAGGTCTGCATGCAACATGATGGTTACAGGGCTCTGCCATGTGGTCACCGACAGGCCTGTCGTATTTATATTTATTTTTATTGTATTCTATTCCTATATATTTTTGTATTATAAAATAAAGTACTTTTTTAAATATACTTACATCCGGTCCTTTCAATACGTTCCTCATATCCAGTTTTTGTTGCTGATCCGGATCCATGTGAATCCTCAGGTGGGGATTGTTCCACCTAAAGTTCTACACACTAGAGCAGGTCCTTGCTCTAGGTTATGTAAGTAGGATATAATCCGTCTACAATCACTGTTATTTTACATACCATAACATTGGATTCTCTATTTTCTTCTTTTTATATATGGTGACCATCATCCATTGGAGAATCAAGTCTTGCTGACTTCTATAAAGAAATCTTTAGACAGGGATTATTGCATCCAGGCCCCTAAAATAGAGTTTATATAGCTCCACTAAGTGCGAGCGTTCGTTTAGCACAATTTTAATAATCTGCACCATTTGTAAATATGCTATTATTTTGTTCCTTTTTTCTTTAAGATACATATTTTGGAAATTCCAGCGATGTTCACCTTTTTTCGTTTGTATTGAGGTATTTTCATTACAGCCTAGGGATACCTCCACTGCCACTCCTCAGATGGCTACTAGAGGTGCTTACCCTCTGCATGGAGACACTGAACTTTCCTCGTAGAGATGCATTGAAGAGGTGCTAATTGTACAGGGCTGTGTTTGTCTTTTGCTGGCTCTGCCCCAATCTACCTCCTTGACAGTCTCAGCCAATCCCATGGGAAAGCATTGTGACTGGTTTTTGATCAACACTTCTGCTGATGTAAGCCAGGCAGGTATATCAGGGGCAGAACCAGATGCAGCAGACTGGAATACAAGTAATATTTTACTATATTTAGGGGGGAAGTGGAACCAGAGGGGCTAGATGGTGATTTTAACACTATAGTGTCAGGAATACATGTTCGTGTTCCTGACTCTATAGTGTTCCTATAAGTGTATTCCTATATTTGTGAGAATGATTCTAACCCTCATCAACTTCCAAGTTCCAGCTACACTCTACCGTGGCTATGCCTACAAGTGAACAATATAGTGGAACATTACTTATGCTCATAGGCTTCAGATGGACATCTTTATGGTGAAGATTTGCAGATGGTGGGTTGGACTGTAGATTAACTTCAGTTTCCAAACACATACTTGGTGCAATATGTAGATTAGTTATACTGGGTATTTTTAATCAATATTCTTTAGTTCTTTGTAAAAATTAATTTTGACCCTATGAGCTCACTCTCCTTCCATTAGGCTGACAATTGAGCTCCCTGAAACTCCAAAAAACACTGCTTCTGGCAGTAGCTCAGCAGTAATATTGAAAGTCTAGTATCAGTAACTTATTTTGCATAAAAGCAGTAACTTTTGTCATTTTAAATTTTTTGCTATTTTTTTTAATATTTATTTTTTTAATGCACTCTCTGTTGTGAATAAAACATTGGTTATATCCAGCATGCAATGCAGCATCCCTTAAAACTTACAGGTGACAGGTGCACAACTTTTACACCAGGAATGATCCTTCGTCCATCCCTCCCTTTATTCATTACTCCAAAAAGATGTCCTGTGAATCACCCTACATCCTTCACCACCTAATTTGAATCCTCCTCTCATCATCCATCACAATCTTCATAACCATTACTTATATGATATAACCACAGCCCCAATTATTTATTTTCTTATAGGTTTATTGGATGAATATTCATTTAATACTCTAACAAGTATTGTTCTTTTGTTATAATAGTTTATAATCTAGTATTCTCTGTTCTGGGTATCACATTGGGCATGCATAAAAAGAATATCAAATTTGAAATTACTCAGATCTTTGAATAGAATTATTTTGTAATCTTTTCAGTTTCCGATAAAAATAACATCCATGTCTTTTTAAAAAAAATTATATATAAACTGTAATAAAACTCGTTCTATTTCCTTAGGCTAATCCGTTTAATATTTGTGTTTGGGATTTCACAGTTGGGCTGTGAATTTGATTTGAATTTATTTTTTTGCTATTGTGATGTGTTTACCCAGTAGTCTTACCCTCCAGGAAATCATAAGCTACTAAATAACCGAGCATCAGAATAAAATAATTTTAACAGAGTATGTAGCAAATTTAAAATGATGTTCTCAAGTCTATCTCTGCTTCTTTTGGTTAAATGCTTTATGCTGCTACGGAAATGTATGCTCTAGGACATAAAAATGCTCCTCACGCCAAGTCAGGTTCCTCATGATTGTCTATGATTTTTTGGTTCATGAATTAAATATCATATTGGTGTTATTTTGTTACAATGGGATTTCTGTCTCACTGGAGGTTAAAATGTATGTTATTCAGGAGAGCTAAACATTTGCCCAGCCTCTGTGGATTTAATAAGGAGGGAATGTACAAAAAGGATCTATCACAATAAAATCTTCTCTTTTTATATACTAAAAGACTATTTAACCTTTTCAACTCACAGTGAGAATCAAAAATGCTGAATTAGTTGCATATTTTTGCATACATAATGCATGCTCTCTTTTGCAAGTATTCCTCCAGGGGAAACTTATCTTAGAGCTATGCTGTGTTTTCTGTCCCTTAGTTATTTAAATCTGCTGAAAAGATAAGTTATTTAGGCATAGCTTGGTATGATTATTAGAGTTTCTGATGACTACCCGTTATTTTCTCCAGTATAATCACAGCAGAGAAATGCAAGAGCCATTATCTTTTAAAGTATGAAGCTAGAATTTGAATTATGACATAGGAATTAATATAATTCTAGTACTTTTATCTGTGGGGTTTAACAGAAATAATTGGATATGAGATAACATATATAATGTAGATAAAGATTTGTAAGCATTCTAAATCACATCAGTGCCAAAATATATTTTGGGATCCAACCTATTAAGGAGAACGACTTCTCCCCCACTTTTACAGTGGACTTTTCCACTGATATATTTTCCTTGGTACTCTGTATCCATGGCATATGTCTTCTAAATGTGCCCATGCTGGCAAGTGATTTTCAAAGTCAAACAGTTTCCCAGATGCCCACATGCTTTATCATTATCATTATATTTACAAAATGCCAAAACTTAGTTATAAACAACAAACAATAGAGACAAGTAATGTAAGGTTTATAGTTTCATTTAAGAAAATGGGAATAAAGGAATACAGAGGCCTGGCTCAAACAAAATTACAATTAAAATAAGCTTTTTTTTTTTTTTTAATAGCGTTGCTTGATTGTGCAAACAAACCTTAACCCCTTCAGAACACGTGAAGGAAATGTTCCGTCATGATTACCTTTTTTTCTGAAGCTGTACATGTACATTCACTGGATT